TATGTGTCTAGACATAATAAAACATTATGTAGGTTTATTTAATGAATATATAAATAAAAAGGGTAATTTAAAAGAAGTATTTCAGAAAGAAGAAAAGTCACAACCCAAGTTCATGTACTCTTATACTGTTTGATATAACTGCAAATACTTTATATTGATTGAATTAAGGAGTATCAATTATAAATATCACATCTTTTCTAAAACACACCAAATGGTAACATACTCATGTTTCAAACTATAAAACACAACACAGTCCATGATCCTTTTTAATTTTTGGAAAGTAACAATATTATCATATGCTACACTTAAATTTTCATATAAATTGTTAAGTCATCAGAATTGGTTGACATATTTTAAATATTTAGTTCAGAAGCGGGTAAAGTTTATCACTACCAAATTAAATCAGCATTTTCTGGCCTTCAGTGATATCAAGAAAAATTAAATTATGTTATTTAAAACTTACCGAAAAACAACAAATTTTTTAAAAGTTCTGATATACTGTTCCATAAAATCAATTATAACTAATTATTGGATTTGCATGTGATTTAAAGTTGAGTAAAACTTCAACAATTTTTCATACAATGATTTGAAATATTTGACATAATATTAAATGCTTTTAACCGTGCACAATTATATTTTTCTTAACAAGTTAATATGAATATAGTTTTGACATACTGTACTTGATAAGTGCAGAGTATAGCTATTAACTTTACAAAGATTTTAAAAGAGAAGAATTTACTTAATAAATATAGATTCTATCTTTGCCTCATTTCAGTAACCTTTTATTATCAAATATTATAAATGAATTTATGAGTTTGGTTTTGAGTTAAAATTTAGAACAACATGAAAAACTTCCACTATATTAGTTTCCAGTGAATAATTAAATAACAGTAAAATGAAAAGAAAATTAAAAAATAGGAAAACTGAATAACAAGAAAGATATAGCAAACATTTGATCTTATGTTATACAATAATTAGGCCAGTCATTACTATTTATTAAGTAAGATGTATACAGAGGATAGATGAGGATAATATAGCAGTAACAAATAAATTATCTCAGTCTTTTTAAGCAACCTCAACTCTACACAATAACTTTAGACTTATATAGTTTAATCGAATATATATTTAATTGAAATATTCAATTATTGATTTATTAGTTTCTTTTTAAAAGTGCATCTTCTGGCATCACTGTGACTTTAAATAGATTTGAAACAGATTTCTAATCAGATTTATTCAGGTAACCTTTAATAGTTTAAACAGGTTAATTTTTAATATCATTTATATTTAAAAGGTGCTCAAAATATTATAGTATTAAATATTTAATAACATTGTTACAAAATTTTAAGTAAGTCAAGCCGACACCCTAGAGGCTTAGAGATCACTACTTCTGGCTCTTGAAACACCAAACAAGTCCATTGAGATTTATACATTTTTTCCATAATTTAATAATGTGGTTTAAGTTGTTGCTAACTTTGCAAAAATATAGTGTAATAGCACAGATGTGCCTGTTAATTAAAAAGTCTCTTGTGAGAGCAAATAGGTTTCTGGGTGATGTTTTGAGCAAGAGTATGTCATTTAGGAAAAATTCTGAGTACACAAAATCCTGAACTTATAAACAGTATGTTCCTAAGAGACTAAAGCTTAAAAAAAAAAAAAAAAAAATCCCGACCACCCTGCAGAGTGAATAGAAGTAAAGGTAATTTGCACATCAGCCAGAGTGTTTTTATATTTCCTTTAAATTAGCCATCTTTCTGCCAAAGTAAAGATTTGTGTTTAGTTTTTGTACAACGTAGCTTTTCTAAAGGTGCTTTCTTTTTATGCCAGTTTTTAACAACATAGCGTTGTAATTTTTAAAATGTTTTGTTAATCATGTAGGTGACAGGTACATTTGTGTCTTCATATTAATTTTCAACTCAGTAGTATTTAAAATGGCTGATATTTGCCACAATTAGATTTCATACATAATTGTATTTTACATTAGTTTAAATCTAAGAAAAAATAACATGCTGTTCTAAATTGTTACAAAATATCTATATTTAAATATAATAAATTCAACTACTTGTTGGCACTAAGGTATTTTTTGCAGCATGTATCATAAATTATTTTTCTAAGTGTATTAGACTTTGCCAGATACTTTATTTAAATCATAGTGAATATTATTTAAATAACCTACATTAAAGAAAATATATCAATATATGCATGAAAAAATAGATGATCATGGATATTAAGTAATTTAATGTTATATGCTAGAACATCATGGATGTTGTATTATAATTTCTTGGTTAAGATACACTTTTCTAGCACTTAAAAGGCTCCTAAGGGATAAATCAAGCATTTTACCAAACGACTTGACTCTTATAAGAATACATACTAATAGTGACTTCATTCTCTTAGACATATGCAAACTCATTCACATACACATATGTATATATACGTGCACAACGCAGACATAATTACACACAAATTCAAACATGTGGGGTATGTACACTTGCATTGCCAGAATAAAGAAGAAATTTGAGGAGCAGTATAAATTTATAAACTTTTATTATTAACATATATCCAAGCTCCAAATCTATCATTTCATTAATGAGATTTTTTTCTTCCTCTCTCCTAGAGCTTCTTTCCCAAAATTTCACAAAATATGCCATCAACTCTACCATTTAGTATTTTTCTAGGTTTCTTATCTTTTTTGCTTATGTCCTTAAGGTTTCCTATGTCCATGAAAGTACATGCTATAATTTGAAAGAAACAATCTTTTTCTCCCAAAGATTTTTAAGTTTCTTTTTGTCTTAAATGTTCTAAAGTGTTATTAGTAAATATAATACTTAAAGTTCATTAGAATGTTTGAATAGAGACTTCTGTGGTTTTCTTTAATTTTGGAAAATCTAAGCTTAATATTGTCTAACCCTATCATATTCTGGAAATCCTCTTAGATATACATTTAAAGAGAACCACTAACAGAAGTCTAAAGAAACACCATGTAAGAAGTGCGGAGTTATGCTCCATTTCCAGAATAAGGCACATCTACATAAATTCTTTGGCATTATTTTGCATGAGTGATTTGTTTTTTTTCCCCTATGTATTTATTCATTAGATAATTTATTTACTTCAATATGGACTAATGGATATTTATTTTCTACTTTATGTTATAATCCAATACTACTACTTTTAAAAATGTTGGACTGCTCAGTGACTTTCTTCCAAAGAGTACAGTATACAAAGCAGTAAATTTAGTAACTGTATAGTGGAGAAATCAGACAAACACTACTTTTATCAGGTGATCAAGGTCCACATCAACAGTGATAAGTCATACTCATCACATGTGCCCTTGATACATGATGAAAGCAATACTTTACCTCTATGGCCTTTCTTCCATCTCTAATAACCCCAGTTTAATAATGAGAAAATATCAATTCCCAGTAGAGAGATATTCTATAAAATACCTGACCAATAATTCTCAAAACTGGTAAAGTCAGTAAAGGCAAGGATAGTCTGAAAAACTGTCACAGTTAATAGGAGTCTAGAGATGTGTAACTAAATGTAATCCATCAGGTGAACCTGGAACAGGAAAACTAAGAAAAATGAAAGAGCTCTAAATTGGTAATAATATATCAATATTGGTTCATTAGCCATAGCAAATATATTATATTAATATAAGGTATTAACCATAGAGAAAACTAGGTCTTGGGTGTATGGGACTAGTACTATCTGTAAATTCCTTTTATAATTTTACAACTGTCCTAACAAATAAAGTTTATTTTTATTTTATTTATTTATTTTTTTTTGAGACGGAGTTTCACTCTTGTTACCCAGGCTGGAGTGCAATGGCGCGATCTCGGCTCACCGCAACCTCCGTCTCCTGGGTTCAGGCAATTCTCCTGCCTCAGCCTCCTGAGTAGCTGGGATTACAGGCACGCACCACCATGCCCAGCTAATTTTTTGTATTTTTAGTAGAGACGGGGTTTCACCATGTTGACCAGGATGGTCTCGATCTCTTGACCTCGTGATCCACCCGCCTCGGCCTCCCAAAGTGCTGGGATTACAGGCTTGAGCCACCGCGCCCGGCATAAAGTTTATTTTTTAAAAGGGCATACGGATATTGAGAAACATCTGTATACTACCTAATATTTATTTCCACCTTATTACTCAAACATGATAATAGAGGAAGACTAAAATGAGTATATGCATTTAGACAAGACCCATATACTGTGGTAGGTCATGAGCTGGGTTTGTTTTGCCTCTTGAATAAATTCATGCTGGGTTTAAAAACTCAGGTGCAATTAAGGATCTGTCACAGTTTAACTCTCAAACTTTGATTTTGAGCTAGGAAGTTAGTGAAGTGGCTTCCAGAGTTGACAGAAAATAGCTTGAGAATTGGAAGACCCAGCACTTTTTGACCTAGAGAATCTCCAAGCACATCAACCCAGATTGAGCCTTCTTGAGAGATAGAAAGGAAGGCACTGAGAACATATTATTTTTATCCTTACTCCAAACTAACTTACTATTGTCTTTTTCAAAGTCAAGTAAGATTGCTGGTGTAGTAAGTGTCGGAATGCTTTAATTCTGCTGAGCAGCAAACCTATTGGGTTGTTAAGCTCAACTCTGCTCACATTTAATTATGAAACTATTCATGAGGAATGAAGAAAGAAACTCCTGCTAGTTAGGAATTGATAAACCATGAACTTGATATCTCAAACTTCCACTACATAGAGTTCAGGATCTCAATTTTCTTTTTTCTTCTTTTTCTCTTTCTTCCTTGTTTCTTACTTTTTCCTTTAGCTCAATACATTTACTAGAAATAAAAGTGGAGAGAAAGCTTAGCTGCTCAGCTGTGATGGAGCAATATAAATATCTTTAAAAATTTCAATATATGCTTAGATTTTATATTTTATTTAAATTATTTTAATAATCTATTGTTTTAATAATTTAAGGTAATAAAAATATTTTCTAATAATCTATTGTTTTAATAATTTAAAGTAATAAAAAATATTTTTTGACACCCTGTGTGGCAAACGCCTCAAGATACAAGAGTAAAGAAACTTTTGAATAGTTAATTATTTTTGTGTCTTCCAGGTTATTTCCTTTCATTTTTGTGTCTTTTGGTCATTGTTTATGCTTATTTATAGTCACTGTGGATTCATAGTATGTTATAGAGAGAAGTATAATCAGTCCTCATAGTTAGATGACTGTATTTACATATTCTTTTGAGAAATCAATAAAATATAAAAAGACAAAAATGGAATATAGTTTTAGAATCATGTTTTAGTTTAGAGTTCTTTAATAACTTTAGTTTCTGCATATACATTGAAAGTAATCCTCCAGTAATACCAGCTATACAACTGTGAAAGGAAGGGTGAATGGCTTAACTATGCATTTTTGTTTAAAATCAACAGACATGTCAGGACTAACATGCGTACAAAGCTTTGGCTATTTGTAAAATGATTGGTTATAAAGCGTAAGAAGAACCAGTTGTGGAAGATGTTGAGTTTACATATGCAGTTTGAGAACATTTGTGTATGAATTATCTCTTTGATAGTTAAAGGTGACATATAACCAGAAATTTGTATAAAATATAATATTTAATGTTTGGAGATAACTTTTGATAGTAATGAATATTCAGGGGGGTGAAATGATGAGAAAAATAAGATTATTTGTGAAATAAATATATAAAAATTATCAATAGCCCAAAGGAATGACTAATCATAAAGGATGTATATTATTTTTCTATTGCTGAGTAAAGGATTGCCACAGGCTGAGTGACTTAAAACAATATTTGATTATTAGTTCACAGTTCAGTCTGTCAGAAGAACAGCATGGTTCTCAGGAAATTGAGTTCTTTGAAGTCGTAGGATGGGAGTCCCCATTTCTTCAATCACCATTAACTGGGAGCTGCTCTCATCTTCTGTAAATCACCTACATTCTACACTAAATAGTCCTCTCCATCTTTAAGCCAGATATAGTGCATCAAATCATCGGCTTGCTTCAAATCTTCCCCTCTGTTAAAGCTAGAGTAAAAAATTTGCTTTTGAAAGGTTTCATATGATTCAGTCTGACAGGTATCTCTTTATTTTAAGGTTAACTGTGCCACATAACATGACATAATTTTAAGAGCAATATCTCCTCATATTCACAGGTTTAGGGTCCTGGTAACAGAAAGGAGTCCTGATCCAGACCCCAGACCCCACGAGAGGGTTCTTGAATCTTGAAAAAAAAAATTCAGGATAAGCCCACAGAGTAAAGTGAAAGCAAGTTTATTAGAGAAGTACAGAAACAAAAGAATGGCTACTCCATAGATAGAGAAGCAACAAGGGCTGCTTGACTGTGTATACTTATAGTTATTTTTGATTATATGCTAAACAAAGAGTGGATTATTCCTGAATTTAACAGGAAATGGGTGGAGATTTTGGAAGTTATCCTATATAGTCTTAAAGGATCTCACCCCTTTTTAGACAATATAAGACAACTTGATCATTGCCATGGCATTCGTAAACTGTCATGGCACTAGTGGGAGTGTCTTTTAGCATGCTAATGCTTACAATTGGCATGTAATGAGCAGTGAGAACAATCAGAGGTCACTTTATAGCCATCTTAGTTTTGGCGGGTTTTGGTGGGCTTCTTTCCTGTATGCTGTTTTATTAGCAGGGTCTTTTTTACCTGCATCTTGTGCCAATCGTCTATCTCATCCTATGAGTAAGAATGCCTAACCTCCCGGGAATGCAGCCCAACATGTCTCAGGCTTATTTTACCCAGCCCCCATTCAAGATGGGGTCACTCTGGTTTGAATGACTCTGACAATGTCACAGCTTTGGGAGGCCATCTGGGAATTCTGCTCATCATGTGGTGCAGGAATCCTAAGATATTGAGACAAGGAGAACAGAAATAGAGGTGTAAGGAGGAAAGGAAAGGAGAATAAATATATATGTGATCAAACAATTGGCAATCAATATAGGAACTTCATACATGCTCATTTATTTTGAACAAATAGGTTTAGAAGGAAGCTACAGAGAAACAATAGAGTTAAAATTGTAAAGGCCGTAGACTGAAGTATGAATTGGGATTGCACAGAATATTGCTCTTTCAAGAAACTTAAAAGAGATGAGAAGGAAACCAGGTAGAAACTAAGAAGGTCAAGGATGAGAGGGATGCATATGATTTTGTTTTGAGGAGATCCAGAGGAGAGGAAGAGCTAAAGAATGCTAGGAATAAAAGCAAGTAAATTAGAAATTCCATCTACAAAGTTTTACAAATTAGCAAACCACATGTGCTGAGGATTCACAAAAGCCAACATAGATTTTTTTTTCCTTTTTTTTAAACAAAGTAAGTCCTTGCTTGTTTAACAATACAAGAGGAAGTAGCTCTGGCATTTTCTGAGTGTGTTAACATTTCTTTTGGTATGTATCTTGCAGTTCCTCAAAGTATGTCTTAATTGCATTCTGAGTGTATTTTCCAAAACAAAATGATCTGAAAAGGTGATCAAATATTTGAAATTATAACACTCCAAAAATAACTAGATACATGTTTGGCATACTTGATTAACTGAGAAATTTCTTTGAGTTTAGGATTTAAACTGTCAAATTTAGAGGAATTAATACTTTCACTTTCAATATGTTGCACATTTTCTATCATCTTAGCAGCTGAATCTATACAAATCTCTAATTTTTTAATTGTGTTTTTAGCCAAATAACTATATGTTCCATTTATTTTTAATTGATTGGCAAAAGACTCATAAAATCAACTGAATAAACAAAAACAGGCTATTTAATATAAAGTATATATTTTAGCATTGGAATTGATTATTAATCTATAAGATATTTTAAGACAATCTATAAATAGCATGTTTGGCACTATGTCCTAAAAGAAGTACTAGATTCCTCCAAGAATTGTTATTTCTGTTACATACACACCTTTTTAAATACCTCTGTGAACGTCTATCGTATGTAGTAGAAATAAAACAAAGTGCAGTGTAATATAATCAGCCACACCCAGGGCAGTACTTTCAATTTAATGTTTTTTTTTCCCCAAAGATTATGGCTGTATCATAAAATTGTATAATTTTAAATAGAGGTAATTTTTTTAAAAAAAAAGCAATTTAGTTAAAGTATTTTAAACAAATTGAGAAATTTCTTAGAATTTACTGTCACCCTATTGAATAATTAGCATTTTCATATAAATATATTTCAAAAATATGGAAAGTAAAACCATAATAGGAAAATATTGGTAACTCCAAAATAAAAAAAATAAATAAAAAGAAGTATCACTAGTACCATGACATAATTAGAAGTGAGACCTTTGGCAATAATGACAATAAACAGCACTTAATCAAACATCTATATGTCTAGATGGCATCTTTTTTAACAGCTCTAAAGGAGGCACAGAGCATGACTGTGCCTTACAAGAACCTCACTTCCCCCTGGGTGGCCTGCAAATTGGAGAATGGCTTATTTTCCTTGACCATCATTGTCACTACTCATCTCCTCACTGATGAAGTCTTTTGCCTTTCTGCTTTGTTTGGTTTGAAGAATTCTTGCTGAGGCTGAGAGTTCAGGTACCTATGATCCAGCCTCTAGAAGTACCACATAGAGATGTCATCTTGACTGTGTGCCCACTTCCTGGAAAGCAGACAATGATCGGGATATGGATCCCTTTTGGGAACCACACATGTATATTTCTTTCCTTTTTATTGACAGAGGCAATTATTTTTTACTACTAACCTTAGGGAACTTCCACTTTTACATGCAGGATTGATCACATATTTTTATCTGTTTCCTCCTCAACTCCCATTTATATAACAGTAAAAAATAAAAATAAAAAATTTAAACTATATTTCAACAAGGACAGAAAGAATGGAAAAGTTACAGGTGTTATACTGGACCGAGCTGATAAGAAATGCCAACACATTTTGAGACATGGGAAGTGGGGAATGATTGGCAACTGACAGAGCAGAGAGAGAAAGATAATCTTCAAGGTCATGGAGCCAATAATAAGCTAGCTAATTTACCCCCTCTGAAAACCAGAAGGCTTAGGGCTTTGGGAGCGTCAGTTTTTTTCCGAAGGCTAAAATATGGGGGAATGAGACTGAAAACAGTATGATCGAGGTAACCAGATTTCTTCACTAAGCCTTTGTTGCCAGGCAAATGTATCTATCCCACTGCAGCCACATAGACAAAGTTTACTCTCCAAATCAGCAAGCTCTGGACTCTAAGAACTAAACACAGCAAAGGACAGATGTGAAACTAAGAATTAATGCAGATCTGCATAATGAATAGTGACACTCTCTGCTTTCTTCCTCATCATATTTTCCAGGATTCATTTGGGAAAGTAGAGAGATCAATAGTAAACCTACAGCTAATGATATTTCAGGACATCTTCAATGGAATAACAGGCTCTCACACTAATGACAAAACTCTTTATTCAAAAAGTGAAACTCATCCACAAATTTTCTCCAATTATTCCTTTAGTGCTTCACTTTTAATTATATGTAGTTAGTCAAAGATAATCAAATATGTGTCCAAAGAAACAGCGAAAAAGAAGTCACAAAAAACTTTAAAAAAAATCAAGTAAACTAGACAACGTAAAAAAGAAAAAATTATTTTTGAAAAAAATGTGATCTTATACAAAATGTGTAATTAGAAGAAAAAAGAGTCATATGATTATATTTTGACATATGAGATATGAAGAAATTTATATGTTGGCACAGCTGCTAACAGGAAGGAATCTTCCACTTCCCTTTCTCCACTTGCTGCTGATTAGCATGCACACAAAAGCAACTGGATCTGCCATTACAAATAATAAAACAGAAGTGACACGTTGAAAATGGCAGAGAAATAAGACAGGTTAAAGAGGATTCCTAATACTGTGGAGCTACCATGTCAATTCCCAACTGCCAATAAAAAATCACCTAGTTATCTAAGAGAAAAATATGCCTATTTGATTTAAGGTATTGCTATTCAGAGTTTTTCTACAGCAACCAAATCTGATAATGTTACCTAGTTGGTGTCTTCTTTATAAGCACACAGAGACTACAAAGGAAAAAACGGGGAAAATGATGCAAATGGATGTTAAGAACAAGCAGTAGTAACTTCACAAAGCTAACAGTGAAATATCTGCAGATAAGTAATAAATCGGGCTAAAAAGGAAATAAATTTTAAATTAGAATGTATGTCCCACCAAAATATCTATTAATTTTGAGACTATAAACAAAACCATTTAAGCAAGTTCTAAAATTGTTAGAAACCAGCATTCATTGTTTCTCATGAAGCCATTGGAGAGTATACTTAATAAAAATGATAAAGTTTAAACATGAAAGGAAAAAAAATTAATACTGGAATTAGGAAGCAAGTAATTAACATAGGAAAAATGCAATGAGACTTCCTAGAAATACAATCAAAAGAAGTCCCCTGACAATATCTGTGTAGCAGGTCTAGAACACAATACATTTAAATTGGAAGGTTAAGACAGTGTGTTTCAGGAAGAATGAATCCAAGAAAAAAATGGAATAGATAGTTTATGTTGGGAATAAAAACTCAGAGTCTCAAAGAAAATGAGCACTCAAGCAAAGGATTTCTCAGCAAGGCAAATTTACTTCTGCAGAAGTGTGCTGCTCACAGGGCTGGTAGCTACAAGAACACACAGAACAATGGAGGAAAGGGGTTTTTATTCCTAATGCAGTTTGTCCCTGCGACTGTGTCCTGCCTCCACTGGCTGGAGTTGAGCTGCACAATCTAAGCTGAACCTGATTGGCTAGCTAGAAGAGTGCAGGGGTGTGAGTTACACTAGTGGGAAAGGCAGTTTTAGTGGGAAGACCACTTGTGGTGGGAGGGTTAATTTACAGAATGAGTAGCAGATGTGGGCTCTGTAGATTTTGACCGGTGGGAAAGTTGTTTACTGAAACCAGGGCAAGGAGGCACAAAGAACAAGGAAGTCTGGCCTTGAAAGTGGGGAACAAAGAACAAGGGAACCAAATGAACCAAACCCTTTGAAGAGGAACTTCTTCTTGTATTTGACAGTTTACCTGATACAATTATTTAAACATGTTGAGAAGAGTTTCATAGTTCTCTCAGAAAGTCTGGGTTAATCAATCAGTGATAGACAGAAAGAGGAGACACACAAATAAAATAATTATTGATGCCAAGAAAAGCAAGGCTCTGTCAAAATCAGTAAGCATAATCATCATAGGTAACAGAGATCTGCTCTCAATGCTATTTATAGTCATAAAAATGTAACCACTATCGAGCCAAAAATTGAGATCAGAGAGTACTGAGCTAAGTATGTGGCAAAGAAACTGACAAAGAGGACATTGAATAGGACAGTTACATTCTCATCTTTCTTTGTAGGCAGCTGATTGTATTTTGAAATGAAAAAAAAAAATCTATAAATGGTAAAACACGTTATACCACAATTTAGAAATATAGAGAAATATGCCATAAGAAACAGTGGAATGTGTGATATGAATTTGTCCTTGTGGAGTAGAAATCAGAGGCGTGGAGGTGATGAAACAAAAATTGCTATTCTTAGTTATACATCTTAGAGTACTGTTATTTTTACAAACAAAGCTTATGTATTTAATGAAAGTAAAATTGAAAAAGACTCATCTTCATACAGTTATTTATTTCAGTCCCATAAAAGTTACCAAGGCAAAGAAATGCAGACTCTCACTTTGCTTGGAAGTGAGAGTATTTCTGTGGAGACATTTTTGGTTTTATCAGTTACATTGTTGTTCTAGCACCTCAGTTTATATCAACGTCAGTTGGATAGAACAAATAAAGAAGCTTTATTTTCTGGTTCCCTGAGCACTGACTACCTCATCACTAATTATACCTCAATATTTCAGTAAGCAGAGCATGTTGAAGTGAGGCAGGATCTTACATTTCTTAACCAATATATTCATTAGACTTAATCTATTGTTAATTTCTTAACTGACATCCAAATAATAGATACACATGTCGTACTAATTATCTTGAAGGTATAAGACTATCTTTGCTGGAAATGATAAGAATATATATTTATATTTTTCTGTTGTCAAATAATCTAATATCATTGAATCATAATCAATGGCTCTATGGGATTAAGTAAAGCATGCACAAATGCTCCTATAACTTTCAATTAACATATTTTTATTGTGCAATGTGATTAAGAAATGAACTTATAATTTTCACTTTTTCAGCCTTTAATTGCTACTTTATTTCTTCCCTTTTATCCTTTCTTCCTTTCTTTTTTTCTTCTCTTTTTAAACATTTTCTTTTTGGCTCTTCCAGAGATACTCCATAATAGTTATATTGCTTTCAAACAATAGCCAGAGCAAACCTCATCAATTTAAGAATGGAGAGTGCATCACATAACGAGTTTATGTCTGTATCTCCCTTACCAAATGGATCTAAAGTGACATCTCAGGGGCCTGTTAATGAGATTGTCTCATGTAAGGGAATCTGGTAATGGGATGCTACCAAATCTCATTATTTAGAGATAATGTTAACAAAAATTAAATTAATTAATGTTCAATTTGCCCTTCACAAGCAAAAACAATTTAAAAGAGTTAGCCGGAAAGATCATGAGATACTGGTGATTAAATATATTTTAGGATCAAAGTCTAGAATTTGCAAATTGGGAGGTTGACAGAACAAAAGTAGCTGTGCATTTGAAAAAGCCTTTTGAAAGAAAGCTGTTTTCAAGCCCATCAACAACTGATTCCCCTTGATCATCTGAGGCTACATTAGATGGGTCATTCTTACTTCCAGAAATTACACATACAATTCTATTTTCTGAAGTGCTCTTCTTCTATTTATAAATTGTTTCTCCTTCAAAACTACTAAAAAGTCACACGTTATATGTAGCATTCTTAACGTGAGTTTCAGTTCTTACATTTGAATTGAAGCCATCCATTTCCATATAGAACTATACACTTATAGATGTAATTGCATTTGTTTACCACAATAGCTGTGCTGTTGGTAATGGAAATGCATGTCTCACAAGAATCAAGTAACCTTTCTGGGAGAAATATTTTAGGTAGAAGTATCTTAGATAATTAGTCATACTGTACAAAATTGAGTTAAGATATAAAGTTAAGAAAATTCATTACTATGGATCTTTACTAAAGAAGTGATTGTTTCTTGTACATACATCAAAACAAAAATGTCTTTAAAATAATGATCTTAATTGCTTCCAAGTGTTACATCTCTGCATATGTGATATAACAATATTATATTAATAACACCATGTTATTTATCTCTGTCTCATGCAAACCTGAGAGCATATAAAAAAGGAAGACAGACTGTTATCTTTATATGTCATAAACCCTATTTCAGATGCATAAAACTCTATTCATTCATCCCATGACTTTTTCAGAGAATAATATGCACCAGACACTCATTCATGTATAGGAAGCATAGAGCACAACATGGAAAAAATTACTGCTTTCAAGAAACTATCTGCATTTATTTTAATGGAGAAACAAAAAGAGAACAAGATGTTTAAACATACATTAGAAACATATGCCAATAATTGGGCAAAAATGTTTTCAAGTAGGGATTAGTGTTAGGAAAAAATAATGATGTGATAGAAAGTGACAATGGTGCCCATATGCACTGGTTGTTAAAGTAAACCTATCTGAGGAGATTAATTCTGGTTAACACCTGAATGGCAAATAGGAACTAAGCAATTTAAGATACAAGGTTCAATCATTTCAGGCAGGGGAAATAGAATATTGCAAGACCTTGTAAAAGAGCCAGCTAGTCTCCCCTGGTGTTCATTTTCTCCTTCTTCCTTTTAATAAACAAAACCATGTCTTCTAAATTTAAAAACAACACATATATGCACAGCTACTGGCCACATTCCTAGACTGTGAGATGCAGCCCTGTGAAATGAGCAACCTATGGGCTCTAAGAGGAAATATATTCAACTTCTAGGTGATGCATCTAAAGAAGAAGTTATTTTCTGTTTTCTTCTTCCTGTGGGAAGACATCCAAATATGGCCCTGATGGCTTAAGTAATGCAAAAACAAAACCATAGGTATCTAACCAAACAGCAAGTTAAAGGCTCTTTTGCCTGTCCTAATTGGGTATATATGAGAGAAATTAATTTTTACCAGCTCTGAACCACTATTTTTTTTTATTCTATTTGTTCTGAAAATTTGGCCTGAACTGCTGTAGACTCTATGGCAGGAATAACTTTGGGCATAGAAGAAAATGTTAGAAAACCAGTGTGCATAAAACACAGCCTGAAGAAAGCTGACAGAGACTCATTTCTGAGAAGCAGGCAGTGATCCACTCATGGGTAGTGTGATGGTTAATACTGAGTGTCAACTTGATTGGGTTGAAGGATGCAAAGTGCTATTCCTGGGTGTGCCTGTGAGGGTGTTGCCAAGGAAATTAACATTTGAGTCAGTGGACTGGGAAAGGCAGACCCACCCTCAATCTGGGTGGGCACAATGTAATCAGCAGCCAGCATGGCCAGAATAAAAAGCAAGCAGAAGAACATGAAAAGACTAGACTGGTTTAGCCTCTCAGCATATGTCTTTCTCCCATGCTGGATGCCCTTGAACATTGGACTCCAAGTTCATCAGCTTTGGGACTCTGACTGGTTTTCTTTCTCCTCAGCGTGCAGATGGCCTTTTGTGGGACCTTGTGATCATGTGAGTTTATATATATATGCTCCCCTTTTTGCCCTTTGATCTTATCTGCTATTTAAAGTAGTCAGTTGCAATGTTGTGTTATATATATCTAACAGGATACATATATCCTGTTAGTTCCATCTCTCTAGAGAAGCCTGACTAATACAGATCGCCTGGTGGGCCTTGAAAATCATCTTATTTTAATCACATTCAGTGAAAAGTTTTCAGAAGAGAGTGATTTAATTTAGCTTCATTTTAAAAAAAGACACCCTTGTTGTAAACAAAATGAATTCTAATGAGTAAAATGTAAGCAGAAGCACAGTAATGAACTATATTATCCAGTTGAGAGATTAAGAAGAGTGGTATCAATGGAGAGTCTGTAAAGCACTTAGTATATTTTAACCTATATCATTGCAGCTTATAATATTCAGCTATTCATTCAACAAGTAATCATTAAAGGCCTTCTATGTGTTGAAGACTATATTAAAATTAGGATATATAATGACAAATAAGACATGGTCATTAACTTTATTGAACACCGAAAATAACATATAATACATAGTTTGAAATTGGAATCGTGTTAATGAGGGACTATGTTAACTTCTCTTTCCAGGTCCACAATGGGCGTGGTTTCAAAGGCAAGAGCTTCCCAGCACTATGCCTTCATCCCCATCCCGATCCAGGAACTTAAAGTTATTTGTCCAACTTTCCTGTGCGTGGGCTGGGTAGAAAGCCCAGGTGAGTTTCCATTGTTTAGAAATCCCACCAAAAGCTCTGAGGGAGGAGGCTTTGTTGCCAGCCAAGCAGCCAATCCAATATTGGAGTCAAAGATCAATCATTCCAGAGAAAGTGTGAAAAAAAAACTCATCTCACTGGACAAGAACTTGAAGGGGATGGGAGTAACTCCAGGGTTAAAATGCCCCCTACTCCCTTACCTATAGAGACTGCATCTCTGGGTCCCCTCCCTGGGCAATGTGGGAGCTGTCTCTCCCTATCTCCCAATAGGGATATCCCTTCCGGATTCCCCTCCCACAGCAGCATGAGAACTCTCACTCACTCTCCATTCTCTCTCTCCACCAAATAAATTGCTCTCTATTACCTAAACTCTGGGTTCTTGATATTTAATCAACAGAAAGCTCACCACACTGCCAGGAACCTCTCTCCATTCTTGGGTGAGTGAGAGTCCAAGAACTTCGGGCACATCCCTTCAGGGAGGAAGTGAAGCCTCCCCCGGGTCCTGTAGTTACACTACAACTTTATCAAATAAAGTTTTTGAGAGGGGAAAATGGAATTCATTTAAGTTTAATTATACCCATATAAGGAAATATTTAACCTAATATGTAATATGTCAGTGGTGGTTACCATAGCAAAGAATTGGGGTACTTCTGGGTAGAGGCATGAATAAAGGGTGTAAAGTGGGGATGGGTTTCACTTATTGCATGACATGTCATAGAAAAAGATTGCTTTAACAAGCACACACTGCAAAGACATAATATAACAAAAAGTAACAATAAATAACAATTTCAACGTATGCACAATACCTTAACAATTTATATTTAACTTCATGTATGAAGTATTATGCAAAGACTATGCCTATAGAATATGCTTCTGGCTAGGTCACTTCAGAATTCATAGAGAGAACATTTTAAAAATACATCATTAGCAAACACATCTTTCCTTTTTCCCCTCAGAATGATAATTATAGGCCAGCTCAAATCAATTTTGACATATTTCAAAATTCACTATATTTCACATTAGTGCAAGATGGCATTAAAGATGTTATTAAAAATGTTAGATGAATCTGTTGCAAAGAAGGTAGCTCACAGTTCACTCTCCAATGACCCTCTACCTGGGCATAGTCAGAAGCTGGCTAAAGATATTAAAGACCAACTCATTGAACAAATAAAGTCTGCAAAGTCTTTTTACTGTGACTTGAAAAATGCAGATATTGTTAACATCTTTTCATATACTTACTATTTGAACATAATGGTCATATGAAATATGAAATTGTTCTGTTTTTTACAGCAATTGCCAACAAACACACTAGTTGTAAACAATACAAAGCTATGAGTCATAAGCT